ACTCTTGTCTTTTCACTGCTTTGTTAATGGAAACAGTTGATATTAGTGGTTTCATGTTTAATTTAATAAGTAAATGGTTTTATAATTTGTCAGTAGTCCCATGTAGCTGGTGTTTTTATTGAATATAATAATGGCAGCAGCGTGGAACGCATTAGCTGCCTCTCCAGGTTGATTGTTCCACTCGAGCAAGAAAAAGTGCGCTCGCTCGTCATATGGCGCACTAAACTAACGGCATCAGTTTGCTAGCTGCTAAGCTAGTTAGCAACTCAACGATGATAAAATAGTCCTCTGGGGTCAATTAAACAATGTTTGCTGTCATCTTTGAACGCAGCATTCTTTAACATTTAAGGCGAATTTAGACTCTATTAGCTAATGTTACCGTAATGCTGCGTTTGTTTCATGTCCGGGCGTTAGCAATGATAGAACATGCTAGAATAAGTTGTATGTAATGGGCTTGTTATCTCAAGTATATAGATACTTTTCTCGAGGCCTTATTGTTGGCGAAAATCATCTACATTGCATTTTTGACCATTTGTTTTTCAAGCTTTCCAAATAAATGTGTAATAGTTGACACAATTAGCCTCGCGCGACTAACTGGTGGGCAACTGAAAACGTGCTAACTGACCATCCCGCCTTGTTTTGTTTCTACTCAGAAAAGTCGCAACCATGGCCGACTCTATGGGACAGTGTGTACCTGTGGCGGTGTTTAAGGTAAGTCATTTTTAGAAATAAAAGGAAATATGTGCCGCGTTGGGCTTGGAGGAGGTTGACCCCCGCAGCATGCATCGGTTAACGGTGGTGAACCGGTACCAGCCAGTTTGGACTAACTACTGTGTTTCCCTCAGCTGGTGTTGGTTGGAGATGGAGGCACTGGAAAGACCACATTTGTGAAGAGACACATTACAGGAGAGTTTGAGAAGAAGTATGTTGGTGAGTATCCACAACCACATCACAAGCCAATGTTGCATCTGGGGAAAAAAATGGATCCAAATAGTTATAACCCAATAAAGTTGGCATGGTTGAAAGATGATATAGACATTTGAAAAATGTTGTCCTCATACATATTTTGTTTAATCATAGCCACTCTGGGAGTAGAAGTGCACCCGTTGATGTTCCACACCAACAGAGGGCCCATCAAGTATAATGTGTGGGACACAGCTGGACAGGAAAAGTTTGGAGGCTTGAGAGATGGCTATTACATCCAAGGTACTTGATTCCAACTCTGTCCGTCATAATGTACTTGGCATTGTTTTCTTTTTTTTTTTCATCAGTGAGGTGACTTACCTTTTTTTTTTCTTTACAGCTCAGTGTGCGATCATCATGTTTGATGTCACCTCCCGAGTCACCTACAAGAACGTGCCCAACTGGCATCGTGACCTGGTCCGTGTGTGCGAGAACATTCCTATTGTCCTGTGCGGCAACAAAGTAGACATCAAAGACAGGAAAGTTAAAGCCAAGAGCATCGTGTTTCACCGCAAGAAGAATCTGCAGGTAATTATTATTTTTTTTCCATGTAGACTGTTTTATTTTATTTTATTTTTGTTTAATATTGTTTTGTCTCTTCTTTCCATAGTACTATGACATTTCTGCCAAAAGTAACTACAACTTTGAGAAGCCTTTCCTGTGGTTAGCAAGGAAGTTGATCGGTGATCCCAACTTGGAGTTTGTGGCTATGCCAGCCCTCGCTCCCCCAGAGGTCCAGATGGACCCATCACTTGCCGCCAAGTATGAGGAAGAGCTTCAAGTAAGTATAATTGTGATTTAACTTGGAGATCTGTTTTCTTGTGCACATGCCTTGGCTGCTGAGCTGATTTGTTTATATTTTCCTTTTTCCATACTAGGTTGCATCACAGACGGCACTCCCAGATGAAGAAGATGACCTCTAACCTGTTACCTGACCTCCCTCCCTCCCTTCCCCAGATGTGGACAAGAAGTTGGATTTTTTTTCACCCCCTCCTTTACTGTAAAATCCCTTTTCAGATTTTTTTATTTTTGAATTTTTCGTTTTAAAAAAGTAAGGAAAAAAAACTCGGTGCAAAAGTTGTGGTTCTAATTTCACTGTATGACACACCCCACCCTAGTGTTGTTTGGCATGGCAACATGCTGCTCTTTTCGTCGTCAAGCACCCTCCTCCGCTGCAAATATCAGGCTCGCATAATGCTGTTGTACGGTGTACTGGAAGCACTAAGGGGATAAAAAGTTTGAATAAAAACATTCTCGGTATAATATAATTGTCTTGGCTCGGTCATTTTAAATGGTAGCAGACCTAGAACATAAAAAGGGAAACTGAAGTCATTTCAGATCTAATTGGGTAAATAAATGCTTAGCATTTTTAAACTAAAATGAATTCCGTTTCAGCTTGCCCCTCACCAATGTCCTAGTTTTAAGCCGTTGTCTGTCATGGTAGCAAAAGTTGTCTAGCTTTTTTTTCCCACTGACACCCTTGGGATACTTTTTTTTTTGTGACCGACTGCAAATCCCTGAGTTGTCTATTAACAGGTCTTATAGCACAGCATCTTAAATCTAAGGTTAATACCTGATGGTAGACGTATGCAAAAGGATTATGAAGTACCTAAATGCATGGTGCTTCTTGACTAAGTCGTTTTTTTAAAAATGTGACCACACCTAAAACTTCAGTCAATATTCTGGTGTGTTACACATGTGCGCACAAAATACTTAATTCAATGACATGGAGTGCATGGTGGGGTAGGAAATAACCTTAAAAAGTGAGTTTTATCTGCTCCGGTAGTGATGTTTTGCAGTTTCGGATAATAAAACTATAAATGAGCTAAACTTGGTCTGAATCAGTTGTCTCCAAAATCGGGTGTCTATCCGTAGAGTTTCTCCTTTACTGTCCACTAGGTGTCAGTAGAGTCCTGCTGCTCACTGAGCAGTAAACCATTTGAATGTATTGCGTAACATATGTGCTGAATAAGTTCGATGTAACGTGTAATGCATTTCCTCTAAGGATGTTAGTTTTCATTTATTTCAGGACCCTATTCAGAATGAGCATTTTACACAGTTCACAGAATGTGAGGGTAAACAAGCATATTGTCCAACCAATGGAAAAATGAAACACTGGCAACAGTTTGGATTCTCATGTTTAAAGTTATAATCCTCTTTAGATTAAAATATCACATGATTATATGGTGGTTTTATTACTTTCAATTCATCATTACTGGTCTCGAAACCATGAGCGGTGCGTTCAGGCAACATTAAATAAGCCAATAAATCAACTTTGATTAACAAAGATAATTATATTTATCCTTCACATCCTGTTTGAAGATGATTCATCTTTTTTTCCCCACAAAATAACATTTGGTTGTTGGGGAAGAAAAAAAAAGAGACTGGACTTTTTTCAGTTTAAAATGTTTTCACCCTTCACTTAAATGGCTTTCTTGATTCAAAATACATTTAACCTTTTTTAAATACCTGGGGTCTGCTACGGTCCAGGCTTTTAAACGCCTTTGTTTTAATTATTGAATGGGGTGTTTGGTCCAGATATTTATTTAAATCACTACTCGTTTTGAATCTAAATTTTGTAGGTTTTATTCAAGCTTCTCCTGTGACATGCCCGTGCCCTCAGGCAAGGCACCTAACCTCTACTTGCTTGTATCAGTGTAAGAATGTCTGGGCTCTGTGAAAGCAACTGTGCAAATATTGGTCACTAGAGCTTAGAATAGCACTTTATAAATCAACTTTATTTACCTTTTTAACAAAGTGTTCATCTCACTCCAAGGAGAAGATTTTTTCAGATTTTGTGCATGATGTTGGTAGACAGTCAGCTTTTTTAAAAGGAATAAAAAAATCTAAATTGTGTTTACTTTTGTTTAGGTAATGCCAATTATCACAAAACTAAAACATGCAGAAATACACCATTGGTCCTGGTAAAATATAGCTTTTAAGAATAAATTTGGTTTTTAGTTTTAAATGCAGCTGAACCAAAGAATGAGTTGATCAAACATGGCTTCATATTATGTCCGATCGTCATTCCTCCATGTTGCTCCAGGGATCCACAGCCAGCTGCTTGGATGTTGTTATAGCAACACATGGCTACAGAGCAAATTCCACTGCTCAACACAAACATGTTGTTACAAATATTGGATTATCTGAGCTTTCTCAAGAAGTTACGCCTGTTCTTTGTGGTGTCTCTTTGCTGTTGTTCAAGGGAAGATCAAATGAACTTTGAATATTACACTACCTTGATCTTCCTTTCCCACATTTAGCACAACAATTCCCTTAATTTTTTTTTACTTATGTATCAATATTACTATATTAATATTAGATTTTACACACAAGATTTAACACATAATTTTCAACGGGTGGAGAAATTTCTAGAAAATACAAATCAAACCAATTATTTGCTGCTTAAAATCAGGCACAATAAATTGTTAGAAACAACTAATTCTGCCTGTGTATGATTTATATTAGGCTTTATGTGAAGATAAGATAACAGCATTATTAAGTTAAAGTGAAACTTGGCAGATGGGTCACAGAGAAAGCTATGGGGAAGTTTAAAGAAGGGTTTGGTTATTAAACATCTCATGCAATAAACATTCCCCTAGAATGGAATAAACTGTTGGTAGTATGATTAGCCATGCTTACCACAAAAAAACGGGTTTGTAGGTTAAAACAAAGTCTTAACATCACACTGCATAAACCCTTTCTTTTATTTATTTTACCTATTTTTATTCTTTAGTTTTTTTTATTTATTTTTATTTTAACAATTTTTTAAATACACTCCTTCTACAATAATATGTGGCAGCAGAAACCTTCATCAGAGACTAAGGAACTGGTAAGAAGTAAGAAAAAGAGTAGAAGTGATAAATGTAGAGAAAAAAACCTGGGGATTTTGAAAAGCCTTGAGTTTGAAGAGATAGCAAGTAAAACCTAATATTTCCCCTGTATTAACTGAAAAACATTATTCCCACAGCACGTAAATGCATCATCTTTGCAGGTGGCTCGGGGCGTGGCTTCATCCGAGTGAGTAGGGACCCTGCTGCGCATGCGTGAGCTCGAAAAGTGCGTTTCAGAATGATTAGTGGTGGGCAGCGCAGAGGCAGATTAAACGGCCCCACACAACTGTTGTTTTAATCCCCTGGAAGAAGAGATTTAGCTCAAAAAAAGAAAAAAAAAACTGCCTTTAAACCCAGCAGCCATATTGTATGGAAGAGCGACGGGAAGACACCAGTTTTCAGAAAAAAAAAACTCCGCAACTCAGAAACCTGCCAGGACTTTTTGGGGACTTGTACAATTTCCTTTTAGCGGCGGTTGGGTGTCTGCTGTCCGGCTAGCTCTGCAGCTGGCTGAGGAAAAGTCTTCCATCCAATTCTGGTTCATCTTTGGGGGAGTTTAAACTGTTTATTTCACAGAACTAATAATGAAGGACCGATTGGAACAGCTGAAAGCGGTGAGTATTGCCCAGGAAACGTCTCTTACATCGTGTATACTCTTTAAAATTATTCTTTTTTTCATAGGGACAAATATTTAATTCCTAGAATTAAAAAAAGGATTAACATTTAGCTGTGTGATGACAAACTGATAGAGGAAACCTGCAGCGTGAATGAGGATTTTACATGGGTGTGTTATGTAAAGATATTTACGAGTACATTATCAAAGGTATGAAGTATGTCTTAGTTTATTTAATTAATTAAGAACTTATAATTAGATGTTCAATCTAAAGTGCCCTTGACTGAGTTGACATGGTTTCTTACATAAAAGCAGTGTATTTGATTATTATTTTTTAAAAGGATATTTTGATTATGTAGTTTTATTTTTGTTTGGGTTAAAGTGTTCCATAGAGAACTCAAAATATAACTTTCCATTAATTTGGTTACAAATCTGGGTTTTGTATACATCTCTGAGCCTGAAATTATAGATAATCTCTATTATCTCCATTAAATCCTTCTCTAAATTAATTGGGGAGTATTATTACACCACATGCAAACACAGCATGAATGTAGTTGACTTTAAAGTACCTTGCAAATTATTAACGCAGGGTGCCATATAGTTCTTACATATTGTAATAAACTTTGACATTTATAGAGATGCTGTCAGTTTATTCTAAAGGTGCATAATGAGGTTGTATGCCTGTACAGAGAAAAAGAACAAAAAAACACTAGAGAATGATAACATAAGGTTACATACACCGAGCATCCATCTTGATAGTTTTTTGAAAGTTCCTTTTGAGCCTAAATAGAATTAAACCACATGTCACGATGAGTAAACATAAACAGACCGGGCATCATCTGCTGGCAGAACCATTTTCCAACCAGAATTCCGTTTTAAAGTTAAATTATCCCAACTAGATACATACTGCCCTATGCTTCACCTAATTAAGGTTGAGATTATAATTTTGGGTGTATCTTATCCTTTAATTTCAAATCTGTCCTCTCCTGAGTCTCCTATCAGAACGTCAAGGTAAAAGAAAATTCCTGTTCCTAACAAACGCAAACAGGGACACCAAATTCAGGAAAAAAAAATCGATAATCAATCAGTTTATCGATTTATATTATTGTAGCAGTGCTATCACTAATAACACTATTAATAACGATACATGCATCCGTCAATATAACACCTGCATCTTTTTTTCCACACAGGATCTTAGACATTACTTCATTATTTCATGAATTTGCTGGAAGGTGCTAATTGCAGAGCCGCAGTAGGCTTCTTCCTTGTTTACCCCTTGTGCACATACGTAGTATTGTACCTCTGTTGTTATTGAAACTGTACACATATGGCTTTTTTTTTTAACTAACAAATGAAGCAAAAACTAAAATATAATAAGTCAACAGCGGCCCATACCAGGAGGAGAGCTAGACATAGTGGGATTACTTCCTGCCTATCCAGTTTAACAAATCCCCAACAATGGCAATTAATATCAGCGGTACCATGAAGCTAACTTAATCTAACATGAACTGATCATGAATCTGTTAATGTGCGCGTATAAAGGGGTGGGATCAAGGTAGCAGACCAATCACAATCATCAGTGCAGAAGAGAGAGCGGCTTATTTCTCCTATGAGGATTACAAACCTTACAGAAATAGAGGAAAAACACTGTCTCCATGAAAAGACAAACATTGGTGGCATGAAAGACGTCTATTATCGTAGCAAAGAATTGCTGACTGAGTCAATGAGCAAGATACACATCAGTTTCATTTAACACAGCCTGCACCCCAATAACTGTAGTGGATATTTTCCACGTTCCCCTCAGAAGTGAACAGGACTTGGTAGCAGATAAGATAAGACACAAAAACATCATTTCATCTGGTAGCTGGACTTTTTAATTCAGTATTGTTTGGAAAACAATAAAGCTGGAAGCTCGTGCTAATATTGCATCAAATTAATAGAAGAAGTGATCAGTTTAAGTCAGGGATGTCAAACTGGTTCCAGAAAGGGCCGTGTGGCTGCAGGTTTTCTTTGCAACCAAGCGATGGCACGCCAGACTCCATTCATTTCATCAAGTGAGTCCAGTGTTAACATGATGACTTGATGAGATGAATGGAGTCTGGTGTGCCATCGCTTGGTTGCAAAGAAAACCTGCAGCCACACGGCCCTTTCTGGAACCAGTTTGACACCTGTGGTTTAAGTGAAATCATTCTGATTTTTGAGCTGTCAGAACTTTTATTTTTAATCCTAACAGTTTACCATTAACTTCCTGACTGATTTATACTGTTACAACAAACACAATAAATAAATAGTGATCCACAAAACTGCTTAGTTTGTCAAGAACATATTATGTTTTAAATGCTATTTGATTTTTAAGTACTTCTATTGTGATGTTCTATTTAAAGTTCTTTTTCCCTCTTAATTTAACCGGGTCTTCAATTAAAGGACACCTCATTGTTTCCCCAACAGCTGACTGGCTGCTGGGTGGAGCGTTTTCTAGGATTCACATCAATCCTGAAAGCTAGCCTTTGCCGGAGCAGGTTTTCCGTTAAGAGTCCGTTACCATGGAGACTAGCCTTGCAAAGAATGAAACCAGCTTTGTGGTACCGGAAAGTCAGATTTAAACCTGAAGCTGTCTGAGTAACCCAGTAATCCTGTTTCGTGGTACAGGCCTCAGGACGTGCAAATCTTTCATGAAATCTTTGTATATAACCAGAGTAAGTTTCTGGCGTATAAATTATTTAAAAAAAAATTATTAACAAAAGTAATGTTACTAAGCACTTTTAATTGTGAAACATAAAAGTAGGCGTGTGATTTCTTTCTCCTACTAAGTCTTCAAAGCTACCTGCTGTATCCTTATGGTTTTTATTTGCTCAGTTGGGTTTTCCATCCATCCATCCATCCATCCATCCATCCATCCATCCATCCATCCATCCATCCATCCATCCATCCATCCATCCATCCATCCATCCATCCATCCATCCATCCATCCATCCATCCATCCATCCATCCATCCATCCCTTCTACATTGCTTGTCTGTCTGTGCTTGCAATATTTCTATGGTTTAAAATCCTTTTTAAGATATCAGGCTAAGTGCTGCATAACCAAAGCTTTGTCTTAACATATGGGGTATAAGGTAAACCCTGACTACCCCTCTCCCACCTGTTGCTGTCAGATGGCTACTCAAGAAAGATTAATTTAAATGTTGGGGAAATACTTTTTGGATTCCAAAAACAGACAGGATAGCTGGGAAGCACACCTCTCACTGTTTTAAGGGTTCCGAAATTGATTTATAAGCTGAATATAGGCTAAAAAGGCTCACAGCTAAAGTGATTTATTGACCATCTTATACCAGGACAGCAAAATTCTGCTTGAGCATCAAGATAATCAAAAGAAATATCATCTGCTAAATTTTTCTGGAGTTTATATTCCTGTGAGAACCTCCTAACAGGGCTACCTGCTACTATGCATCACAATAGCAATAAAATACATTCATGTAAAAAACTTTTATGAAATTAAAATCTGATTTTAAGATACGTTAAGAAGATGGTGGGAAAGACTTTCAGTCTTGTTTTCTGCAGGAGGGGAAAGAAGCTGCTCAGGATGAGTCTGAGTGAAGACAAGTGGTTGAAAAGGCAGCCTTTCTGATCTCTCTTGTAACCCAATATGAGGTGTGTTGCCCCGGCTTCTTAAAACGTTTAGCTAAATATTTGCGGTCTTTAAAACTGCAGAGCTTATGCGTTTGTTGTTTTTTTTCCCCCCACTGAGCTGCTGTCCTGTCAGTGAAAGGAAGTACAGATGGTAGCCCAAATAGGCCATTCAAGTGTGAGGAAGTTGACAGAAAATGTGTTTGTGTGAAGCTGCAAAAGCCTCTCCGCCTTAGTGTTATTCCTCTATCAGGTAGTCCTCCCTTTACACCCTCCTCCTTATCTTTTTCCCCTTCTTCGTGCTCAACCCCGCCTTGATTTTCCTCCTTGATTTTCCTTTCTAATGTTTAACTTGCTGGTTGTAACCTAGACTGTATATGTGTCATACTGCAGCCTTATGTTCATGTAAATGTTTGCCCAAGCTACTGCCAACAATCACCTGACGTTCAGCAAACCTCGACACTTTCAGGACAGGAAGGGACTTTAAAAAACTTCTTGGTTTTCAGTTATGACATCTTTCATGGGGCTCGGTTGGTGTTACCCTGCCTTGTCCAGTTTTTATCTCGCATTCTAAAATCGGATGTTTGTTTTTGTAAGCAAGACAAAAGGTGGATGTAAAAGCTGGAGCTGCTTCTGTTATTTCGGTTTTCTGCTTATTGTTTCTCCCAAAACCAAATGTTTTTTTTTTTTTCCCTGTTTTACTTCTGCTTACTTGATAATATAACTTCCAATTCATTGGGCTGCTGGTTTTGGTTCCTCTCTTTAATCCTCATGAATGGAGGAGTTGTAGCAGCTCAGGCATTGCTTCCTCTCTGATGGAGTTTCTAAAATCACTTTCCATTACCACAAATTGTTAATAGTGTTCAAGCCCTATTTTATTATCTCCTGATTAATTTAAAATGAGGTTAAAAAAGGAGCCTTTTGACCATTCAGTCAGGAAAGCATAAACAGAGTGAGGTGAATGATTTGACGTGACAATGGACAGCTATTTAGAAGCTACCCTTGTGGTTAAAGCTGATTTGGCCGCTAAAACCAGCCTGTACTTCACTTTTTTATCTTAATAACTTGAAAGAAACGTTTACATCCGTCAGGTTCAACTATCTAACACATTTATCAACATACAAGGAATGAAAGACAACAGAAGTAGATTAGTTTACTCCCTAGTTACATGAATGTTGCTGCTCGGAAGGGAAAAACAGCAGCAACACTATCTTTTGTGACAGATTTACACAAGAATAAGCACTTTAAAGGACATATTATCTATATTTAACCATTGTACTGAGTGAGGAGACAACTCCTCTCTTGTCACCCCCACTTTAACTCCCTGCATAACATTCCAGCATGGAGATTGCTGCGACTTCTCCAAAATCACTCC